AATAGATCACATATTAGATCACAAATCAGGCTTTAACCAGTACAAAAAGACTGAGATCATACCATGTACATTTTCTGACCCCAACACTATGAAACTAGAAGTCAGTCACAAGAAAAATCTGGAAAGACCACAAATGCATGGAGGTTAAATAACATGCTACTAAACAAAATGAACGGGTCAACCAGGAAATCAAAGAAGAAACTAAAAAAAAATACATGGAAACAAATGAAAATGAAAACACAATGGTCCAAAACCTCTGGGATGCAGCAAAAGCAGTTGTGTTAAGAGGGAAGTTTACAGCAATACAGGCCTACCTCAAGAAGCAAGAGAAGTCTCAAATATGCAACCTAACCTTACACCTAAAGGAGCTAGAAAGAGAACAATAAAACCTAAATCCAGCAGAAGGAAGGAAATAATAAATATTAGAGCAAAAATAAATGATATAGAAACTAAAAAACAATAGAACAGATCAATGAAGTCAGGAGCTGATTCTTTGAAAGAAGTAATAAAATTGATAAACCTCTAGCCAGACGTATCAAAGAGGAAAGAGAAATGACCCAAATAAATAAAATCACAAATAAGAGAGGAGAAATAACAACCAACATCACAGAAATACAAACTATCATAAAAGAATATTAAGAAAAACTATACGCCAACAAATTGGACAACCTGGAAGAAATGCATAAATTCCTAGAAACCTATAAACTACCAAAACCAAAACAGGGAGAAACAGAAAACTTGAACAGACCGATAACCAGCAAAAAAAAAAAAAAAAATTGAATCGGTAATAAAAAATCTCCCAATAAACAAAAATCCAGAACCAGATGACATCACAGGTCAATTCTACCAAATATGTAAAGGGTTAATACCTATTCTTCTCTAACTATTCCAAAAAATAGAAAAGGAAGGGAAACTTCCAAATTCATTCTATGAGGCCAGCATTACCTGATACCAAAACAGATAAAGATGCCACTAAAAAAGAAAACTACAGGCCAATATTCCTGATGAACCTGGATGCAAAAATTCTCAATAAAATACCAGCAAACCGAATGTTTCCTGAGGCAAGGGAAACAAAAGCAAAAATAAACTATTGGGACTTCATTAAAATAAAAACTTCTGCACAGTGGAGAAAACGATCAAACTAAACTAAAAGGCAACCTATGGAATGGGAGAAGATATTTGCAAATGACATATCTGATAAAAGGTTAGTATCCAAAATATATAAAGAACTTATAAAACTCAACACCCAAAAAATTGAATAACCCAATTAAAAAATGGACAGAAGACATGAGCAGCCACTTCTGCAAAGAAGACATCCAGATGGCCAACAGACACAAGAAAAGATGCTCAACATTACTCATCATCAGGGAAATGCAAATCAAAAGCACACTGAGATATCACCTCACACCTGTCAGAATGGCTAAAATCAAGAACACAAGAAACACCAAGTGTTGGTGAGGATGTGGAGAAAGAGGAACCCTCCCACACCATTGGTGGATATGCAAATTCCACGGTGCAGCCACCGTGGAAGACAGTATGGAGGTTCCTCAAAAAGTTTTTTAAAAGTTAAAAATAGAAGTACCCTATGATCCAGCAACTGCACTACTGAGTATTTACCCAAAGTATACAAGAATGCTAATGCAAAGGGGTACACGCACCCCGATGTTTACAGCAGCATTACCTACAACAGCCAAATTATGAAACCAGCCCACATGTCCATCGACTGACGAATGGATAAAGAAGAAGTGGTGTATATATATGCATTGGAATGTTACTCAGCCATCAAAAAGAATAAAACCTTGCCATTTGCAAGGACATGAAAAGAACTACAAAGTATTACACTAAGCAAAATAAGTCAGTCCAAGAAAGACAAATTCTACTCATATGTGGAATGTAATAAACAAAACAAATGAGCAGATGGAAAAAGAGAGAGAGAGAGAGAGAGGCAAACCAAGAAACAGACTCTTAACTATAAAGAACACAGTGATGGTTACCAGAGGGGAGGTGGGTGGGGGATGAGTGAAAAAGGTGCTGGGGATTAAGGAGGGCACTTGTCCTGATGAGCACCGGGTGAGGTATGGAAGTGCTGAATCACTACATTGTACACCTGAAACTAATATTACACTCTATGTTAACTAAGTGCAATTTAAATAAAAACTTAAAATAAATAAATAAATACAAACAAACTTTTAAAAAATGTAGTGGATTGCTATCAATGCAAGTGTTCGAACTAAAGGGAGGCAACTGTATGTCAAAGCTGAGACCAAATTCCTGCTCTGGGGGAAAAGTTGTATTAGAGGATGTTTAATGTACTTCCTATTGCTAAGACTTTACCATTCTGTAATATGCAGAAATGGATGGGAGGGTATAGGAGTAAGGGTTGTTCACTGATTGCAAATCTGCAGCCCACTAACTTTCTCCATGTAAACCATTCTCTAAGGAGCCCTTAAGTGATACTGAACTCTCATCAGAGAGCATCAAATAATAGTTTCTTCTGTGAAATCAATACCTTTGGCTAGTAGACATATTTACTTTCGACTACTAATTTCCAGAAGAGTTCCCCCAAATAATAAAATCTTAGAATAAGAAATTATATTAGAATAGAAGAAAAAACTGGCTTATTCAGTCAGTGGGATACCACTCAGCAGTTGAAATGCATGAACTAGATCTCAAAAACATAATGTTGAGTGATAAACATTTGCAAAAGGATACATACTATATATCCCCATTTATGTACATTAAAACAACTATAGAATGACATTATATATTATTTATGGATCTATCAACATAGGTAGCAAAAGCATAAAATATGCATGGGAATGGTACATCTAACTCCAAGACTGTGGTTACTTCTGGGGAGAAAGACAGAGGAAAGGGATGATGATGAGTTTTAATTATATCAGTAATGTTTCATTACTTAAAAAAATAACCTACAGCACAAAGAGCAAAATATCTCTATCTATACTGGGTTGACAGGTGCTTATTATATTACTGTAGCATTTTCTGTACATTTTTGTGTGTTTTTAAATTATACTGAACCAATACTTCTAAAGAAATTATGTTGGAGGCTATAATGCCCAGTCCTTCTATGAGTGCAGGAATCGCCTCTCCTCTCTGGTCACTCAGCCTTTGTTCTTTTTGTTCTCCAAGTTCATTTTATCCTTATATTAAAGTAAAACATGCTTTCTGGTCAGATTCTCCTCCTTGGGCCTGGCTCTGCCCACACCCCTAGGAAAGCGATGATGATTCTATCACATTCTCTCTGCTGAAATAACTCACAGGGCTGCCCTCCTACACAGGAATAGAACTTTGAGTCTTATGGGAAATTTGTTAAAATATGCCCCATGTGGATAGTACGTCAAACCTGTACTGAGTATATTTTGCTACAAAAGACATCTTCTCAATTTGTAATATGATTCAATAGGGATAAAACAAAATGAAATGCACAGAATAATATCTTTAGTCCACTTTTAAGGAACTAATATATTCAGATATTTCAAGAACTATAAAAGTCACCTTTTACCCTCATTTACAATTTTTTTTTATTTAGAATGGGGCGCCTGGGTGGCTCAGTCAGTTAAGCATCCAGCTCTTGGTTCTGGCTCAGGTCATGACCTCAGGGTCGTGAGATGGTGCCCTACATGGGGCCCCACCCTCGGGGGTGGGGGGAGTCTGCTTCTCTCCTTATCCCTCTCCCTCTGCCCCTCCCTGCTCCTTGCATTCACGCACGTGCACTCTCTCTCTCTCTCTCTCCCTCTCGCTCTCTCTCTCAAAAATAAATAAATCTTTAAAAAAATTTTTTTAATTAGAAAGATAATATTTCTTCTATAAACACCTTCATTTCCAAATTGGTTACAAAGTCTGTTTTCTTTTTTTACCATAATATAAGAGGATTTAGGTTTTGGTTTTTTGCCTGGTGGTTTAGCTCAGCGATGTCCAAACTGCCAACTGTGACCAATTATTAGGTCATGATATCAGTGGTGGCAGCAATTTTAAAAAATGTAATACAGGGGCGCCTAAGTGGCTCAGTTGGTTAAGTGTCTGCCTTTAGCTCAGGTCATGATCCCAGAGTCTCCTGGGATCGAGCCCCACAGCAGGCTCTCTGCTCAATGGGGAGCCTGCTTCTCCTTCTCCCTCCACCTGCCACTCCCCCTGCTTGTGCTCTCTCTCTCTCTCTGTCAAATAAATAAATAATCTTTTTAAAAAGTGTAACAGAATAGAAACCATTGGAACGTAATTCTCATAGAAATAATAAGCATTGTGAAGCTTTTGGTTGCGTTTTTAAAAACTCATACACACATGTACTGAGTCACAACATAAAGTGTATTTTCTACTATGAGTTGCAATAAAAAAAAGGACAAGTTTGAAAACAAGTGGATTAGATGAGAGCAATTGCTTACAGAAGGCACTGTAAGCCAGGCCTCTTTAGTTTAGTCTGAAATACAAAGTGTTCACATTTGTTGGGTATGTGTGATATGAAGGCAGGAACCAAAGAACAACCAACTAAGATCAGGCTGGGGCTCAGAATCTCTCTTTGCTGGGGACCAGTGACACAAGTAAGAAATATTCTGCTTCCTGCTTTGTCCAAATTTAAATTTTCACAGAATCGCTTTTGGAAGCTGTATTACTTCATCTATATACGTCACAGGTAAAGACTGCACTGGGCTCATGTGCACAAGGAAAATCTAGCCAATTAACCTGCTGTGCTATTGTTGGCACTTTGGCAAATTGACAAAGCCCAGCAGCTTCGACCTTGATCCTCAGTAAACAAAGGTGTTTGAGTTTCCATAAGCCTGGCAAGACAGAGCAATTAGCCCGGAGAACCCAAAAGCTGAAGAAACACAATTCATGAAACCACTCCTTGTTATACCCTAAGGAGGGAATTAGTAAGATCTCCATCTCTCCTCAGAACACACACAAACTGAATGGACTGTAGTTTCTGCCCCTCTGTAATGCAATTTGCTTTTTATTTATTCTCACATACTCAACATGGAACCAACCTCGAAGAGCGTTAATCCTATTCGGGTTAAGGGCGTTCATGCCATACCCCAGATTGCCATAGACGTTACTTTTTACCAAGACTTCCTCTGTGAACAGTTTGCGAACAAGGTATCTGGCTGCCAGCTCTGGGCGAGACTTCCCTTTGGCTATATACAGTACTGAATGTGGCAACTGTACATTTCTACCTGGATTTCCAAGATATTCTAGAAGCAAAAGAGAAAGAAGATGTCAATTTTCATGGCAGACGTTAGGTTCAAGTTTTTTTTTTTAAAGGCTTTAAGAGAAAGGTTGATTTTTCTGAATTTTTAGGCTCCAGAATTCGAGAAGTTAAAAAAATTAATCCCTTAAGTTTTTAGTGTATCATGAGATAGCAGGAGAAATGAAACAAGAATCACTGCTGATGTGATTGCACATGCTCTGATTGTTCAGGAAAACGATTCAGTGTTCTGTTACCTTTCAGGACACGATCAGTTTGAACATTATGGTTAGTAACAAATTCTAAGTAATTTCAATGGTCTCTTGTCCTCTTTATAGCAAAGGCTTGTTCAAAAAGAAGCAACAAGATTCTTACTGAAATATTTATAATTTTTAAGTAGGTTTTCTATTAGGTATTAAAGTCATCATTTAAGAATTAGCAAACTCAGCTATCATATTTTAGTTAACTTATTTGAACTGAAAAATAAATTTTAAACCTATTTTCATTCCTCAACTCCACAGCCTAATCATCCCCATCTCTCCTCAGTCCTAGTGATTCAAATTAACCACATTTTAAAATGCCCTATTTTATATACAATAAAGAATTCTTTGTTGGAGAAAATATGTTAGAGAAATACAGTATGATTCTTACAAGTCAATGAGCATATTTTTCATCTTGGAACATTCATCATTTAATGGGTGACCATATTAATTACTGAATCCCCCAGATCCAACATTTACCAAGAGACACTGAATTATTTAAAAGTCCACTTAGTGGGTCCAAAGACTTCACTCTAGAAGATTAACCCAGCAGTATTTATCAAGGTCAGAAAAAAAAGGTTAATACTCTTTAACCTGGTAATTTCAATTAGGAGAACCTAACTTAAGGATCCAAGGGGCGCCTGGGTGGTTCAGTTGGTTAAGTGTCCGACTCTTGATTTCAGCTCGGGTCGTGATCTCAGGGTCTTGGGACTGAGTCTCGCATAGCTCCATGCTCAGTGCAAAGTCAGCTTGTCCCTGTCCCTCTGCTCCTCCCCCTACTTGCATGTTCTCTCTCCCCGTCTCTCTTTCTCTCAAATAAATAAATGAATAAAATATTTTTTAAAAATAACAGAGTCTTGGGCGCCTGGGTGGCTCAGTTGGTTAAGCAACTGCCTTCAGCTCGGGTCATGATCCTGGAGTCCCACGATCGAGTCCCGCATCAGGCTCCCTCCCTGCTCAGCGGGGAGTCTGCTTCTCCCTCTGACCTTCCCCCCCCTCATGTACTCTCTCTCATTCTCTCTCTCAAATAAATAAATAAAATCTTTAAAAAAAATAAAAATAAAAAAAATAACAGAGTCTTCTAGTTCATGAACATGGGATATCTATGTATCTAGGTCTTCCTTAATTTATTTCAACAATATTTTATAGTTTTCAGAAAGCACAGCTGGCACTTCTTTTGATAAATTCATCCCTAAGCATTTTAATTGAACATCAGGCTCCATGCTCAGTGGGGAGTCTGCTGGAGATTCTCTCTCTCCCTCTCCCTCTCCCCCTCTCCCCGCTCGCTCACACTCTCTCTCTCTCAAATAAATAAATCAATCTTAAAAAAAGAAAAGAATCTAAAATATGTACAAAGCTATACAAATGAATTTTTGGCAGCATGATTTGTATGACTGATAATCCCCTCCCCAACAAATCCCCCCCTGCAAAAAAAAAGAGGAAGGTAGTTAAATAAATTAGGGTATACTTACTCAATTGAATATTATATACCTGTTAAAAGCAATGATCATAAACAATGGAGATTCTTTTTTTTTTAAAGATTTTATTTATTTATTTGAGAGAGAGAGAATGAGAGATAGAGAGCACGAGAGGGAAGAGGGTCAGAGGGAGAAGCAGACTCCCTGCCGAGCAGGAAGCCCGATGTGGGACTCGATCCTGGGACTCCAGGATCATGACCTGAGCCGAAGGCAGTCGCTTAACCAACTGAGCCACCCAGGCGCCCAACAATGGAGATTCTTGATAAAAAACATACACATACCATGTTTAAAAAGAAGAGTGAATATATAGAGACCATAATGTTTTAAAATGTAAGAAAAAAACTAGAAGAAAATTAAAATATCCACAATAGTTTTTTATGGTATCTTGATTGTGGGAGCTTTCCTTCCCTGCTGAATTTTTTCCACTTTTTCAAAATAAAATGGTGTAACAGAAAATACACAAACTGGGCAGCTGCCTGGCTCCCAATTCACTTAGTTGGCCCTATCTCCTGGTTCTAGACCTGTGACTTAAGTGCTCCAAATCAGATTCTTTGTCCTAGGAATCTGAGCAGTGACGAGAGGAAACTAGACCCTAGAGCTCATGCAAGATGCAGACAGAGCCCCACAGACCTCAGGGGACGCCAGCTGCCACAATCAGGGCTGGCGGTTTGGCTCCTGCCTTCGGCTCGGTTGGTTTGTTCTCTGCTTCTTTAAATCTAGGAGCTATTCGTCCACTGATTTTTGTTATGGTTTAATTGGGCCAGAGTTTGTTTCTATGGCATACAACCTGAACAAATATAGTAGTCATATTGATTTTATAATGGAAAAAATACAAAGATGCATCATTTAAATAATTTCATTTGAATGGGTTCACAGGTAATATGCTACTGAGGGTTGACAGGGGGGCAGGGGAGAGACAGAAAATAGTTTTGCCAGCTCAGATGCCACTAAACCCTAGCACACTGAGGAGGAGGCACTGGGAAGCATGAGTGGCAGGTGGCACCGTCACCTACGGAACCCACTGCCACTTGATACTAATGAAGTAGGATGTGCCTCTAGCAGACAGCGAGCAGTGGGGGCAAAATGTTCTGAGGAATGGGATTTATTAATTCATACAAAAACTCTTTAAGGAGCACCCGCCACGTGTCAGGCACAGAGAGAGCAAGACCCCTGAATTGCTTCTGGCTCCACCAGCTGTAGCTCCTTCTCATGCCTAACGTGAGAGCTCACACGGGTTGAAGGAATCAACCGAGAGCTGCTTTCCGAAGGAAAAATAGCAGATTTAGCTTAATGTTCAAAACTATCAGTCTCAGGGGCACCTGGTGGGCGCAGTCACTTAAGTGTCCGACTCTTGGTTTCGGCTCAGGGCTGATCTCAGGGTCGTGAAATCAAGCCCTCCATCGGGCTCCATGCTCAGCACGGAGGCTGCTGGAGAGTCTCTCCCTCTGCCCCTCCCCACTGAGTGCACGTGCTAGCGCGCTCACTCCCTCTCTCAAATAAATAATAAATAAATCTCTCTCAAATAAATAAATCTAAAAAAAAACTATCGGTCCCAAAACTAGGTATCTGTATTTCATTAACTCATTAATATAAGAGATTAAGTTGTTTAGATTTCTCATCATGAAAAATGTCAAACATACTTGAAAGTAGAACAGTACAATGAGGCCCACAATTGCATCACCCAGATTCAACATTTATCATCAAGAGAACTTATTTTAATAACTCACCCAGTGCGTCATAAGATACCACTGAATTCTCCATGGAACGTTCTTTAATTCCTTGATGGCAAACACTGCTCTTCTGCTGAAAATTCCCTTTTTCTCTTGTTTCTGAGGCAGCTGTTGGCCAAGATAACTGGGAAATGCTTTCACCACCTTTGCCACCTCTTTCATCATTCACATCTGCAGACGCTGGAATGCCAAGACTGGTAGGGTCTTTCTTGCAGCCACCAGCTTTCTGCTGAAACACAACATGTGTCTGTACCCAAAGTCCCCTCGTGAGAAAACATGGACATGCTCCATCATCTACCAGGGCCCCCCAGGTTGGTAGGGAAGCAACTATCTCTAACAAGGTCAGAAAAAGCGCACAGATATTGTGCACCATGATAGAAGTAAACATGTGGCTTATTCCTCAAGCAGCCGTGATGCGCTGCCTCTTGGAGGGCTCGGTAGCTTTAGCTAATGATAACTGCTGGCACAAAACAAGTGCTTAGTAAACGTTTCAGGAATAAACGAATAAATGAGTCTCTTCAAGATGACAACTTCGGTTTTTGGTTTTTTCTTAAATGTTCTTGTTTGTTTTCTCTTTCCCCAATGGCTAGAGACTCTAGGGATCTCTAAAGACCCTGGGGACCTTTTTTTTTTTTTTAAGCTGTGCTTGAGACCCACTTTCTTGGCATATTTAACCAGAATCTCTGGTGGAAGGAGTGGGAGAGCTCAGGCATTAATGACTTTCTTTAAAAGTGTCTCCCATGACTCTAATATATTCCTAGGGTTAACAACCACTACTCTAGGTCGGGGCTTCTCAAAGGGCTATGGGCACACAAATCACCTGGGGGTCTTGCTAAAATGCAAATTCTGCCTCCATGAGTCTAGTGTGGAGCTCAAGACTCTGCATTTCTCACAAGCTTTCCTGCGGTGCTGCTGGTGTTGCTGGTCCGCGGACCCACTTTGAGTGGCAAGGACCCGTCCCTCTCCTAGTCAAGCACACAGCAGGTATTTGGCAGATGCCAAATTCTGACGCCTAAGCAAATATGCAAATTACCATTTTCCAGGCAGTATCATAATTTTACATTCAAATGTTTAGGGTGCAATTTTTGTAGGATATAAAAGGGAATGTGAAAAATAAGCAGATTTGGTTTCAGACAGATGGTGCTTGAGCTATCACTGAAATCAAGCCGTTCACTAGGAAAACATAAGCTCAGCTACAGATATTCTTGGCAAAGTTTCCATGCACTTACTCTAGAGATGCAGGACTGGCTGGACATGGCGAGAATAACATGCAGTTTTCAGAGAGGTGGGCAGAAATGAGAAATTGTTAAGTTAAATGCTTCAACAGGAGAAGGCAATAGACATCACTCTCTCCCCTGCTGGCCCATTCGTGTTAAAAAAAAAAAAAAAATCTCTAATGCACTTTCAAGACAGAATGGATGTGAGAAAAGCCAGATTCCTGTTTGCCATGTAACTATAGAAAGTATAAGGTATCGGCAGTAGCCAAACCTCACGGCCAGCATGACGTCCGCCAGGTTCTGCCGTCACCGAAAGCAGACAAGGACAGAAGCTCCTGCCTTCACTCCCGTACCACAGTCTGCTCTTCTCTGCGGTACTCAGTGAGATACTGAAAAAGATTTGCCAAACATCTCTGGAGCTGAAAACTCTTTCCTGGTATACCCCATGGCTTCAAATATACTGATTGTAACACTCCATTTGATTTATTTTCTCTTTAGGATATTTGTATGGAGCATAAATGTCAAAGAGTAAAATAAATAGGCAGAGACCATACACTGCCCCTAAATTAAATAAACAAGATTTTGAGCACATGGCTTGAAGATCTTGTGTGTCATGCTCTTCACTCGGGAATTGTATACAGTATGCACTGATACAGTAGTGACCATATTTAAATAAAAAATAACTTACTGGTGTTGTGTTGGCTTCGGCACATAAACAATAGATCAGAGAATTGATATCGGCAATACAGGTTTTCCAGTCTTTTCCACGTTCACGCAAATCATGGTTGGGAAAATTTGTTGCCAGATATTCTACAAATAGCGAAAGCATTCATGAAAATTTTTTAAAAAGAAAAAAAAACCAAAGAATTGACAAGACTTTTTTTATTGAAAATACTGACATTTTCTATTTTGAATTGCTGCTCTTTTCTCTCTTTCTGAGAGTTGAGAAATTCTACTCAAAGAGGATGCTTTGCTGAATATCTCACTTCTAATGTGCAATTCCCCTATAAAACACTGACGTAGGGAGCCACTAAGGAGGTTTTGGTGCTTTTATTAAACTAAGAACAGATACTAAATTTAAATCTTAGCCGGAAAGGCTGAGAAGCGATGAGGTTATGGGGCTTTTAAAAAAAGTGTGTAACAGAAAGTCAACTATTTCTGGGTGCTAATGCCATTGAATAACCCTGTGGATATATTAAAACTAAAAAGGAAACCTGTAAGCATAAAATGGTGTTATTGCCAATATTCTTAGGCCAGGGTATTTTTATTTGTGCACACTACATGTCTACTATCTTCCCCAGAAGCTATTCCTTCGGCCTAGAGTACCCTTCCTATTTATCTAGCTAAGGATTCCAAATCTAGCTCAAATGTTTTGTCCCTAATAAGCCTCCCTTAATGCCCTCAAAGTAGTTGCTCTGCTCTCTGAGCTTCTACATTATTACTGCCCTGGATTGGGATTGATCTGTTTCCCTCAAAAGTCCCTTTCTAGACTGTGAACTCCTTGAGGGCAGAAATACTTATTTGTTGTTGTAGTCTCAGTGCCCATGAGTTCTACAACCTTCATCCAAATCTCTGGAAGGCGGGAAGGCAGGAGGCCAAAATGGATTAATCATAACATTCTATTTCTGTGTTGCCAGTTAGTAGCACCGAAGTGTGTTTTATTCTCCTGCATTTTTTTTTTTTTTGGCTTTTTCTTTATTTTTTAGTACCAAGCTTGAGCACTGAAGAATTGACTTAGTTCTAGCCATAAGCAGCTATAATCAATAAAGCTTGTCTTATTCCATTAGTCTATGGACAAGTGGCATTCTTTACAAGTTGTTACCCATTACGTAATATTAAATTGTAAAATCAGGGTCAGGCAGGTGAAAAACAGCTCTAAGATTTACACAGACTTCATCATTATCTCTTAAACTACCAATAACATTCATCAGATGACCAAATGATGATAAAAACAAGATTTCATAATGACTTTACATACCTCTTATTGCAGCCATTTTGTTTGGGTCTAGAGGTTGGCGGCCTTGGGAATTAACACCTACCCAGCTGCGCATCAGAATTTCCTTGGAGAACAAAACATGAACCAAGTAGCGGGCTGCATGCCTAGGATGGCTCTTCTTTTGTGCAGTCACCAAATTAATATTAAGCACCCTGACATTCCTTCTCGGATCACCAAGATAGCCTTTTAAAACACAGGGAAAAAGTAAAATCCTTGTTTTCTCATGCAAGGCTACCATGAAAGTGCCCAAGAAAATTAAACTAATTGATTTCCAATTCACTAATTTTTCTTTTAAGATTTTATTTATCTATTTGACAGAGAAAGAGACAGCAAGAGAGGAAACACAAGCAGGGGGAGTGGGAGAGGGAGAAGCAGGCCTCCCGCCGAACGGGGAGCCCAATGCAGGGCTTGATCCCAGGACCCTGGGACCATGACCTAAGCCGAAGGCAGACACTTAACAACTGAGCCACCCAGGTGCCGCAACTAATTCACTAATTTCTACTTGGATGAATTTTTTCCTGTACTTCTCTCTTCCATAAATGGGTCTCTTTGATGCCATCTGCATAACTGTTAGCATTTTTCACCTTTGCTAGCAAGTCTTGAATTTTCTGTACTTGAACTAGTCATTTCATTGTCTTGAATAAATTCAATTCTTAGGCCAAAGATGCATATGCAAACATGTTGCTCTGAGATCCCACTGCTCCCTTTTATAATCTAAAAGTACACTCAGAGCTATATTACTGAGTATATGTTCCTTGAAGATAATCTGGAAAGTATGGGTGGGCATAATTAAGAAAATTTTGAAATAGCTAGCATTCATTGAGTAACTACTATATATCAGGTGCTATGCTAAATATTTTGCATCTATAAGCTCAGTTTCATCATTGTAACAACTTATTCCCACTTTGAAGAGGAAACTGAGGCCCAGAGAAGGTAAAGCATTTGAACAAGATCACAGAGCCAGTTTTTATTTATTTTTTTTTAAAGATTTTTATTTATTTATTTGACAGAGAGAGACACAGCGAAAGAGGGAACACAAGCAGGGGGAGTGGGAGAGGGAGAAGCAGGCTTCCCGCAGAGCAGGGAGCCCGATGGGGGCTCGATCCCAGGACCTCGGGATCATGACCTGAGCTGAAGGCAGATGCTTAACAACTGAGCCACCCAGGCGCCCCCAGAGCCAGTTTTTAAATCTGTTTATAAGCCAAGTGCTCTGAATCATTAATCTGCTAATGCCTTCTATTCTTTTTGCTATTTCTTCTTTTTTAAACACAAAATTGAAATCATACTTTACATATAGTCTGAATCCTGCTTTTTCAGTTACCATTCTATTTCAAGCATTTCTCCATTTTCTTTAGTTCTTTTTCAAGTCAGCATTCCTATCTTCATGATTTTCCTGACAGGTGACGTTTATGTTGCACTTAGGTTCTAAGCATTGTGTTAAGAGCTTTCAGTGAATTATTCCATTTGAGCCTCACAATTCTATGAAATAGGTACCATGATTTTTGTTACTTCACAGAGGAAGAAACAAATACTTAGGTTAGAGAAGTGGCTGAAGATCACATGGTTAGTAAGACACAGAGCTGGGATTTGAACCCAGACAGTCTGACTCGGGAGCCCCTGCTCTTAACCATTATGCTTTACTGTTTCATACACCATGGATATACCAAGAGTTACTTAACTAACTCCCTATGGCTGCTTATTTGGTTGTTTCCAATTTTTCATGATTCTGTAAAGAACATTCCTGTACCAAAATTTAAATACAAATCTTTTTTATTGATTAAATCTTCAGATATTAGTGGGATTACTGAGTCAACTGGCATAAATACCTTTACGGATTTTTATTCAAATTACCTTTCAGAAAGTTTTCACCAGCGTTTACTTCTAACAACAGCATATCATAGTGCCCATTTAGTAACAAAGAGCACAATTTTTGAGGGTTTTTTTCTAGTTTGCCTAACAAAACAATTTAAAAGAAAAGCATCTCCTCTAGGACAGGAGTCAGCAAACTACGGTCCCCAGGCCAATCCCAACACCAGTCTGTGTAAAGCGAGTTACCCTGGCACACAGCCACACCCATCCATCTACCTACATCTGGGGCTGCTTTCATGTGACAACAGCAGAGCGGAGTAGTTGTGACAGACACCAGATGGCCCACAGAGCCCAAAATAGTGCCTATCTAGCCCTTTACTGAAAAAGTTTGCTGAGCCCTGTGCTAGAATATTAATAAGAGAATAGCTACTTAGAAGTAGAGACACAAAGGAACCATAAAATATAGGGAAGGTTTGCCCTTAGAAACCACGGAACTTAGGGTCCCCTCCTCTCTGCTACTGTGGCTTGGCAGGCAATACAGGAGGCTGTGAAAAAACATGAGCTTTAAGTCAGAGAGGACCGAGTGTTCCAGAACTGCCACTCACCCGCTCTGTGACTTTGAGAATGGGAGTAATAAAAATACCTACTTATGGAGTCATTTGAATGTTAATAGAGAAGCGACATGTCAGTTGATTAGCACAGTGCCTTGTACATAACACTCAATAAATATTAGCCATTATGATTAAGATAACCTAAAACCAACCCTTAAAATAGGAAACAAAAAGCTTCCATTAGCCTGTATCAAGGATGGTGAAGAATATCGGTTAAATGGCGCTACTTGTAGTATGTGTCATTTCGCACTCACCAAAACCGGAAGGGATGCAGAAAGATGATGAGACAGAATCTTGGCTCTTGTCCTCTTCCAATACAGCTGGGTAATTCATTATTTCAGGGACGTTTTCCACGCTGTTTTCTGCTTTTACCAATATTTCTATAGGTAAAAGTGCTGAAAGAAAAGGAATCTCAACTGCAAATTCACTACCCAGCAAACTATCATTCAGGTGTGAAAGGGAAACAAACACATTCTCAAAGAAAACTCAGTGTTTGTCACTAGCAGACCTACTCTTAAAGAGTGGCTAAAGGAAGATCATCAAACAGAAAGGTTACGATGACAGAAAGAATCCTGGAGCATCAGGAAGGAAAAGAGAACAACAGAAATAGCAGAAGTATGCATGAAGAGAAACTTGATCATTCATTCAGTGTAAAATCGAACAGCTACGTTGGAAAACAGTTTGGCAGCTTCTTATAAAACTAAATCTTCAATTATCACATGACACAGCAATCTCACTCTTGGACATTTATCCCAGAGAAATAAAAGCTCATGATATGACACAAAAGCCTGCACATGAGTGTTCTTAGCTTTATTCATAATAGCCAAAACCGTGAACAACCCAGATGTCCTTCAACAGATGAATGGCTAAACAAACGGTGGTAAATCCAATACCATAGAATACCACTCAAAAATAAAAAGAAATAAAGAACAGAAGAGGCAGAAATATGGATGAATATAATACAATCATGAGTTTTATAAATCATCCACGATGACGGAAACGAAAATGAAAACACCATCTGACATCCAAGACAGTAAGTTAAAAGTGAGGAGGGCAAAGGAAACTAAGTGGAATTAAAATTTCAACACTTCATTCCAAGTGGTAAAATGCTGATACCAGTAGACTGTGGTAAGTCACATACATAAATAATAACATCCAGAGCAACCACCAGGAAAATTATATACAGCAATATATTCCTAAATAAAACAATATATTCAAAAGCATAAATAAAGATGGAACACCAGAAAATGTTCAGGTAACCCACAGGAAGGCAAAAAAAGATAAACAAAAAAAGAATGAGAGGGGCATCTGGCCGGCCCAGTCAGTAGGGCATGCTGCTCTTGGTCTCGGGGTCATGAGTTCAAGCCCCACATTGGGAGTAGAGATTACTTTAAAAAATTAATTTAATAAACTTAAAAAAAAGTAATGAGAATAGGAAACAAAAAGAAATATAATAAAATGGTAGACTTAGGTCTATGATATCAATAATTATCTTAAATGTAGTTAACCTAACCATATCAATTAAATGGCAGAAAGTGATAATGTGGATAAAAAAAGATCAACTATGTGGTGTTCAAAAGAAACTCTACAAATTCAATTACATAGGTAGCTTGAAAGTAAAAGGATGGGAAAGCATATACCATGCAAACATTAGTCCGGAAAAAAGCAGCGTAGCTGTGTTGACATCAGATAAAGTAGATTTCAGAGCAAAGAAATTTACTACAAACAAATAAAAATGAAAAGATCAACCCCGAGGAAGACAATGATTCTCAACATACCAAATGACAAATTCTCAAAATACATGAAGCAAAAACTGAAAGAGCTGAAAGGAGAAATAATCAAATCCATAATTAAAGTTGAGGATCTCACATTCCCCCCTCTCTCAGCAACCGGTGGAACAACCAGACCAAAAATCAACAAGGATACAGAAGATCTGAACAACACACTCAACCAACAAGAGATCCTCATTATAGAACGTTCCACCCAACAAAACCAGAATACCTATTTTTTCAAATGCCAAGGGAACGAATGTGTCCTCCTTGCCAGGTACTATGTGCAAAGTTCAAATGCCTATGGATGGTTCACCAAGACAAACCACATCCTAGACCAGAGGAAAAAAGTCTCAACAAATTTAAAAGAAAAGATATCATACAGAGTATATTTTCTGACCATAATAGAATCAAATTAGAAATCAATAATAGAAAGTTTCCAAAGAAGTAATAAAATACATAGGACTTAATGAAAATACAACACATCAAAATATAACTAAGGCAGTATTGAAAGTGAAATCTACAGCACTAAATTCTTATATTAGAAAAGAGGACAGTTCTAAATCTATAATCTAAGTTCCTACACCAAAAACTAAGAAAAGAAGAGCAAAATAAACCTCAAATAAGCAAAAAGAATGAAATAATAAAAAGCAGAAATCAATGAAATGGAAAATATGACAACAGAAAATCAATGAAACAAAAAGCTGGTACCTCAAAAAGATTAATAAAGCTAATAAAGCTCTAAAAAGAATTACAAAAGGAAAAAGAGATGACACAAATCATCGATATCAGGAATGAAACAAGTTATCCATCACCCATCAAAAGGATAATAGGGAATACAACAAACCACTTTACGTTCATAAATTTGATGACTTAAAAGAGTTGAATCAATTCCGCCAAAATTACATAGACCAAAACTCAACCAAGATGACATAAATATCTAAATAGTCCTATAACCATCAAAGACATTAAATTTGCAATTAAAAGCCTTCAGAAAAGGAATCTACAGGCCCAGATGATTTTACTAGAGATTTTTTACCAAACATTTAAAAAATTAACACCAATTTCTCATATACTCTTCCATAAAATAGTATACAATTATAAAGGAGGAGAGAACACATTAGCCCTTGAATGGGTTAGAGATGAAGCCAGGGAAGGAATGACATATGACATGGTTATAAACAGGCAATGAGGGGGTTCCTGGAAGTAAAGGGACAGTTCTGTATCATGACTATGGTGGTGAAAAGCTGAATGCAAACATGTTACAAAAGTGCACAGCACTAAACACACACGCACACATACAAATGAATACAACTAAAGCTGGGGACATATGAATAGATGTGTAGATTGTATTGATGTCAAAATCCTAGTTGTGATATTTTACTCTATTTTTGCAAAAGATTAGCCTTGGGAGAAATTTGGTTAAGGGTATACCAGATCTCTCTGTATTAACTTCATGCACTACATGTGATTCTGAAATATCTCCAAATGAAAAATCTAATTTTGAAAAAACTATCACTAAAAATTCATATTAAGAATGTTGATGAACCTAAATTAGAGAGTGCTACTTATAATATGTATCATTTCAAACTCACCAAAACCAGGAGCGAGAAAGTAAGTTTCTGAGTCAGCATCTTGGTCGCTGTCATTTTTCATTAAAGTTGGGGAACTCATTGTCTCGGAACTCACTTCTATGCTGGATTCTGTTTGAACAACATTTTGATCAGTAAAACATTTTTAAGTGCTGCAAGACAAGAAATCTCAACAGTGATTTTTCCATCAGGTGAAACTATCTTTTAAGAATGAAGCAGAAATAGAGGGGCAGAGCAAGATGGCGGAGCTGTAGGAGACCTGGATTTTGTCTGGTCCCAGGAATTTAGCTGGATAGGGATCAAATCATTCTGAACACCTACAAACTCAACAGGAGATCGAAGAAAAGAATAGCAACAACTCTCTGAACAGAAAAGCGACCACTTTCTGGAAGGTAGGACGTGCAGGGGAGGGGGCCTCCATCAGCTGCTTCTGGCAAGTGATAGAGCAGCGGAGCACAAAATCAGAACTTTTAAGAAATCTGAGGGACGTTGCTCCAGTGGCTAATTGGGGGGTGGAACCCTCGCGGGGACAGTGTGGTCTCAGGATCCTCAGGGTCACAGAAAGACCGGGGGTGCCTTAGTGCGGCAGAGCTCCCAGGTATCAGAGCAGGGAAGCCGGCTGCAGAGTCGGAGCCGAGGCGCGGGCTCTCAGCTCGGGGTGGCCATAAACTGTGATCCGCGGCCCAGTCGGGCCACTGCTCCTCCAGCAGGGACCCAACAAGCGGCAGCCGGGGAGACTCCCCTTCCTCCCCCGGGAGGAGCGGCGCGGGAGCGCACCGCAGGGATCTGCTGGGTTTGGAGACTCCACACGGGGTCGGGTGCCAGGGATAGAAACGCTCGGTCACAGGCCGGGTGAGCACGGAGTGCGGCCGGAGACCGGGCAGACGGGAGTGATCAACTGCTTTTCTCTGGGGGCACACTGAGGAGCGGGGCCCCGAGTTCTCGGCTCCTACGGGGCGGAGATTGGGAGGTCGCCATTTTCACTCTCGTCCTCCAAAGCTGTACCAAGGGGCGCCTGGGTGGCTCAGTCCTTGAGCGTCTGCCTTCAGCTCGGGTCATGATCCCAGGGTCCTGGGATCGAGCCCCGCATCGGGCTCCCTGCTCCATGAGAAGCCGGCTTCTCCCTCTACCACTCCCTCTGCTTGTGTTCCCTCTCTCACTATGTCTCTGTCAAATAAATAAAATCTTAAAAAAAAAAAAAAAAAGCTGTACGGAAAGCTTGCAAGGAACAAAAGCTCCCGAGAGCAAAACTGAGCGGATTACTGAGCCCGGACAGCAAGGGCGGGGCAATTCCGCCTCCGGCAAAGATATTTGGGAACCACGGCAACAGGCCCCTCCCCCAGGAGATCAGCAAGAACAGCCAGCCAAGACCAAGTTTACCCATCAATGAGAACGGCCGAACTCCAGCAGTAGGGGAATACTGCACATAGAATTCATAGCTTTTTTACCGTGGTTCTTTAGTCTTTCAAAGTTATTTTTTTTAACTGTTTCTTTTTTTTTTTAATTTTAATTTTTTCCTTTTCCAACCAACATCTTATCAATCCCTTTTTTAAAAAATATTTTTTACTTTTCATTTTTAGAGTCATATTCTATCCCTTCAGAGTAGTTACCCTTATTTTTGGTACATATGCATAAGTTCTTCTCTCTTTAAAATTTTGAGATACAGATTCTTCTAAAAGATCAAAATATACCCTAAATCTCTAGTGTATGGCTTTGTTCTAATCTACTGCCTGATCACATTCTCTCCCATTTTTTTTTTAAATCCTCTTCTTTCTTTTTTCAACCAACTTCTTATCTTATCAATTCCTTTTATAAAATCTTTTATAATTTTCATCTTTACATTCTTATTCCATCCCTTCACCGTATTAACCCTTATTTTTGTACATATATAAGTTTTTCTTTCGTTAAAAATTTGGGAGGCACTTTCTTCTAACAAACCAAAATACGCCCAAAATCTAGTGTGTTGCACTGATCTATGCACCAGCCTGATCATATTTGATCATATTCTTTCTGTTTTGTTTTTGTTTATCTTTTTCTTTTTTTTTTCTTTCCCTTTCTTTTCCCCCGGTTTCAGGTCCCATCTGATTTGTTTAGTGTATACTTTCTGGGGACGTTGTTACCCTGTTACCATTTTGTTCTCTCATCTATTCTCCTCTGGACAAAATGACAACACGGAAAAAATCACCTCAACAAAAAGAACAAGAAGCAGTACCG